AATATTTATCACTGTGTGGCAGTCGTTAAGTCACTTTGCAACAATTAAGATGACATGCAAGAACATCATTCTGTTGAAGAAAGAAAATGGGGAAGCTTCATCACGCTCAGCCTATCGTCCCGCCCTAAGAAAACTGCACAATCACGGACTAAAAAGTTTTCACTTCCATTTTATTTCAGTTGTGCTAATTGGGTTATTTTTCTTCAGCCACGTTATTGTGAGTTAGGAGAGAGCTGGCGGAACAGTTCTTGAGTTTCTGTGGGGTCGGCGTGCCGTGGTGATTGGTCTTGGGGTACACTTGCACAACCACCTGCCCCAAATCCTGCGGGCTCACCATAGCCCGTGCTACTTGGAACTTTGTTCCAGGTAGCGAATCTTTAAGGACAACAACAACAACCTGCCCAAAAATACCCACCACTAAATGGAGTTATGACATCGTATAACGCATTGACCAGTATTGCGATTCAAGACGTACCTAGAGCTGGTATGCACTATCTCTTCTAACTCGTTCTATTTCTCCCCTAGACTTACACTGAAGCTCTCTCTAGCATCTCTGTTACTCTAGCTTCCACCCACAGCCTCTCCTTCCAAAGTTCCTCATGGTAAGCGTGCATATTTGGTGATCCTCTTAGAATTGTATACATCTTATCTTGTCTCTCCTCTTTCCTCTAGTATGACGAGTTGAAATTCCCTTAGTTGTTTCTCCTAGTTTAGTTCCCTCTCCCCAGGAACGAATAATATAGCATATCTCTGGGCCTTGTTCTAGTATTACTAAATATTTCTTTAAGTGTTTCATGCCGGGTCTGCATATTCATGGAAGGTGTGGCTCTGAATACAGTATTCTGAAGGTCTTTGGCCTGGATCATTTGGAACATTTTTTTCAGTGTTGCATACACTATGGCCGCACTATATATATATATATATATATATATATATATATATATATATATATATATATATATATATATATATATATATATAATATATATAAGCCAACTCTAAAACTGTTTGTTTTCAATTTACGGGCTATTCATTCCCGTGCCACCTCCTGGTTGGCTTAATCTTAATCAATCAATCTGTTCTCAAAATATAAAGTTTTTGTCCGCGACCACCTCCATCTCCGCAGGTGACTACCGTTCAGTAGCGACCATTTGTCATAACCACCTTCGAAATAGCTTCATTGTTTTATGATGTCGTAACTTGTGTCTCACAGTTAAACATACAAGAAAGCAGAGAGTGATATCGAACAACTTAGAGAGAGAGAGAGAGAGAGAGAGAGAGAGAGAGAGAGAGAGAGAGAGAGAGAGAGAGAGAGAGAGAGAGAGAGAGAGAGAGAGAGAGTACTAAATAGTCACCAAAATCTAGATTTACTAGAGCACTCTGATAGTGTTAAGGTTTATGAAAAACAAATACGAGGCAATACAACTTGCAACAGCGGGTCTCGGACCACGAAAGTTACAAACTACTGAACTGCTATATTTTCCTGGTTCAGACAAAACTAAATCATTTGTAATTTATCACTGCCAGAAAAATATATGTTTAACTCTAAGTTCTAACAGGAGTTAAAAAAGTTTACAGCTAAAATAAGACTAGATAGCAATATTGCAAGGCGTTTAAACCCTGAACATTTTATCCTGGGGCTATTGGGTCATTCTCGTTCTTTATTTTACCTTAAGTGAAAACGACGGTTTAGCAAGGTGATGTTCTGAATAAATTAAGTTTCATAATAACGGCTTCACGATAAACAGACACTCTAAAGTGTCATATGAAAACACAACTCCCAGACACTAGATGGTGAAGGGACGACGACGTTTCGGTCCGTCCTAGACCATTCTCAAGTCGATTGTCGACTTGAGAATGGTCCAGGACCGACCGAAACGTCGTCGTCCCTTCAATTTCTAGTGTGTGGTCTGGTCAAACATACTTTAGCCACGTTATTGTGACTCATCGCCTGCACAACTCCCAGAGTTAAAGGTGTTGGCGCCGTCTGGAGGGGCGCTCAGTATCCACTATTTTAAAGGACCTCCAACACCCCCCCGAGGGTAAGCCAGAGAGACCCAGAGCTGCTGACGAAGACTTGGGAAGGACGCTGTAGGGAATAATAGCTTAGTTGGAAGGGGGACAAAACACGACTGTTTTTAGGGAGGAGTACGATGGGGTGGAGAAGGGTTAGAAAGAGTGGGGGAGAGCAGGGAGGGATAGGAAGGATTTGGGGGTAGGGAAGGGTGGGGGGAACAGTAGAGAAGAGTGTGGGAGGGTAGGGACAAGGGGAGGAGGGGTGGGAAGGAGTGGAGTAGGGAAGGGAAGTGGTGTGGGGAAGGGAAGGGCAGAGTGGTGTGGGGGGGGGAAGAGAAGGGAAGGGAAGGGAGGTAAGACTGCACAACACACGCCTGCAGACACTGTGGTCAGCAGCAAACCAGAGAAATCAGACACCGTTCAGCATCAGCATGAAGGACAGGGAAAGCGATCTTGAGTTAACAATATGAGCACTGGATCACTTGTGTGGTTGATGGCTTTGAAATATAATCTCAAACTGCCTCGTGCCCTCTACTTTGCCTCCAGCCTATCCAACTCTTCAAGTCTTACAAATTACGCAAAGGAAAAACAAAAATGAATGCATAAATGAAATACCATGGAGACCCTTGGCGGCGAGTTTCTCGGGAAAGCCTCATCCATATGAATAAGCATGAGACGCCCCCAAACTAAACGACGTGTCTGACTGGGGCCAGATTCACGAAACAGTTACGCAAGTACTTACGAACGTGTACATCTTTCCCCAATCTTTGACGGTTTTGATTACATTTATTAAACAGTTTACAAGCATGGAAACTTCCCAAATTAACTGTTGTTTTTGTTATAAACAGCCTCCTGGTGCCTCGGAGCTCATTAATTGTTTAATAATTGTAAACAAAGCCGCCAAAGATTGAGAAAAGATGTATAGGTTCGTAAGTGCTTGAGTAATTGCTTGGTGAATCTGGCCCTTGGGTACTTTCTCTGAACACTTGCCGAGAATGTGCAATCTTTGCTATTATACCACCACGTTTAAACGTTATGCATGCGAATAACGAGATATGCAGCAATGACAATAAATTTAAACATTGCTACACTATAGAATAAAAAGTGAACCTAATTTTAACTTGCTGCTGAACAATAACGAAGAATTATGCCATTGCTTCCGAGTATAAAAGAATGCGAATGCTTGATAAATGTGATGAATTGCTAACAGTACCAAATGAAGCACTTGAGATTTCCTGTAACAGTTCAAGCACAGAACCTGTTAGCTAGGCTGTAGCGGATGATGTTAGCCAGACTATTGCATCTGTTAATTAGACTATCGCAGATGATTTTGGCTAGGCTGTCGCAGACGTTAGCTAAGCTGTCGCAGATCGCAGATAATGTTCGCTAGACTGTCGAATATGATGATAATTACGCTGTTCCAGATGATGTCATCTGCGACAGCCTAGCAAACATCTATTTAAAAAAAAAACTTAGATTCTTCGAGGTTTGCTCTCTGTCCCTGAAACATAACTGATCAAAGAACTTCAAATTATTAATATGGAAATTTACGTATATTTCAGACAGCAAGTAATATATGATTATCAATATATTTTAAGACTTGCCCCCCTCCTTTAATGACGATATGAACAAAATTCCCGTTCTCACAGGCCTGTGTTCATTAACAGGTTTTCAAATATCGTGAATGATTCAATAAAGCGGCTGCGTCCAAAACTTGGTATCCAACTTTACCAGATTGGTCAGAATAAGTCCCTGACTGCACCCAAGTTTACCTGAACGGCACTTTCCACAACAAAGTTGATGCGATGAAAAGTCGTCTGGGAAAAGTAGGGCAGCAGAAGTAATGAACGGTGGTGCGACTTGGAGAACTCATCAAATTCCTGTTGGCTTACGACCCCAAGACCTCGCTGTGCAACGCGGGACTGGCCACGATGGCCTTTCATGAATAGAAATTCCCTGCTTTAGCACTCGCTGTTGGGTAAGATACCGTACACTTCGCCCACTGTGTTGAAAACCCTTAGAGGGACGTTTCAAGTGCCCTAGGACACAAGTACAGACGGAGACGGTGAGTGAGTGCGAGTGTATTTACAATTTATATTCACTATTTGCTGTTAACGCTTGGACCTCGCCATTCTAATCGTTATATGTCTAATGTACTGATCCCTACCTATATTTATCTAACATATCTACTACATATATATATCTCTGTCACACACACATACAGGGTGTGTGTGTGTGTGTGTGTGTGTGTGAGGGAGGGTGTGGTTAAACAGTGGGTGCCCTGAAACCTAAAAAAGATTTGACAATAGTGGTGTTGGTATTTGAATTAAATGTTGAATCATTCAAGTTCACTAAAATATTTTGCGAATTTATTTAATGACACTAATGTATTTTCTGTATACTCGTTAATTTGACGAGTAATGGAAAAAATGGACTGTTAATGGAAAAAAAGTTGTATCATAGTAACAAATACTTGTAATAAAAATGACATGATAGCGTATTCAATTACTTTTTAAGGAAAATGTAGTTAAAAAAGTCACTCTTGACAATGTCCACTGGCAAGCAACGTCACTGGTCATGATACAGAAGAATACAGACCGCAAGTTGCAGCATACTTTTGAGTGTATGTGTACAGTATACGCTGTGAGTGTACGTAAAATTGCCATTACCACCTAATTGGGCACACATCAATAATTGATGTGTGTGTATCAATCTATATCACCAATTGTTGTTGTTGTCGTCTAAGATTCAGCTACTCTGAACAAAAAGGTCCAGGTAACACAGGCTAAGGTGAGCCCGTAGTGAACTTGTATCACCTGTTAAAAGTAAATCTCTATCACCAATTAAGGTCAAACCATATTTTATTTAAAATATTATACCTGTATTTACAACTGTTCACTTCTATTTATAAATAAGGAACAATTCACCACCGGTAACAAAGAAAATGAACAAATTTGTGCAGTATTAAGATGTTCATCACTTACCATCACTAAGATCGGGCTTCGTAGAAAACTTCTCGAATGAGTGCAGTAAGAAACTTCGATCCTCTTTATTGCCGAAAAACACCATCTTTACCAGAAGCTTCGAGTGAAAAGCACCAATATGCTAAAAATTGAGGCCTTAATTTTTCAAAACCCTTTTTTCATTGTTCCCTCCTGAAGACAAAGATCTTTTCTAAAGCCCAAGTTGATATGGCGTTTCACTTTAATTGTTCTTATGTTCTTATTGTTGTATCAAAGACGTAAATCGGACATTTTCTCGTTATGTGCGCCAACTGGGTTAAGGTTCTTTAGTTTATAGTAGTTAAGGTGGTTCTCATCACTAGGCTAGGCGGCAGCACTAACCTGTAGCCTACAATAACACTGAATCACAGTCACGTTTTAGTTATCTCAGTAGCGTGTTCTCTTAATTTGCCACTCCGTAAAAAATACAACTGTTTTACTTATCCAGAAACGTACGAGCCCAAACAACCCACCGAACCCATCGAGGCTGATTAAATAGAATACGGCAGAATTACGGTTGAATTTGGTTGGTGCTAAATATGTTCAGCTATACAATGAGCAATCGCAGACACGACGATGACCACACACGAACGAAAATAGACGAACAAGTTAGCATCGTAACTACTAACGAACACATAATTTATGAGGGTCTAATAAAATGTAATTGTGTATTAAAATTGTAGAGCTCAGAGATATATACCGACTGCAATGAGGCGCAATCACGCTTAACGGTATTAAACGGTGACACTTGGGCAGAGCAAGCCGCAATGTCTACCACAGATCACTCAGAGTACTACACTCAGACATGATATTACGTCTTTAATTAATTAAGGAATTATAAAATTGAAAGTTCCAGGAGTATCAACAGGCACGGGGACAGTGGAAGTGTTTGCAAGCAGATAAAAAACCGTGTAATACAAAATGATGTACTGTTCAAAACTCAATTAAAAGTAACGTGGAATTCAAATATAAATTAATTATGAAATGTTACCTTCTAGTGTGTTTCGAAGTAATTTCCAAATTACGATTATATTCAAACTGACCAGTCATAAAAACGAATAGGTTCATGTATTTCCAACAAAATGGAAGAGCTGCACTTTTATATCCTACTGGTAAAACGAATACATCTTTTCTGCTTCAGCTGCAGAAAATTCTTAGCAGCTGCTAATGATTCTTAGCAGCGGTGTGTCACACTAACAATAGTGCCCATGAGCAGGCTAGTTCCTAAATATCTCATCCCAGCCCTTGCCTTATGGGTGGGAAGTGTACCTTTACTGTGGGCAGTCCAGACAAAAAATAAAAAATCCATCAAGGAATTCCCCGAAAATTTGGTCACCGTTCCTTAACAAAAGCACCAGTTTGAGATTTATTCTTTGTTTCCCTCATCAGCACAGGAATTATTGTAAATTATACCAACGAGATGGCTTGGTGGTGACATATTCCCGACTGCAGGAGGTGCATGACGCAAGCAGGTGGGGTAAGAGGTGGGGGGAGGGACAGTAATCTGGTAATGACACCGCCAGGAGCCGTAAAGTAGGCCCTAAAGGACACACTGGAGGCTCGCCACGCTCCATTTACGCCCAGCCTGATTAAACGCGCCGCGGTGTCCTCAAAGGTTCTCAGTCTGCAAACATCGCTACCTTTTTGACCTTGTTGACAAGGCAGTCTGTGATCCCTCCAAAATTTATACAACTAATGAAATGAGACATTAATTCGTTAAATTAATTGACTTGCTGTTTGTTTATTCCAAGAAATGCTCCAGTTTCTATATAGATTAATATGACTATTTTTTTTTAATTATTACGCTATGCTAATCCAGTTGCCGCACAGATTTGACTCTTGGCTAAAGAATAACAGTATAATAAATAACTGTTGATATTAGAAAAATAAACTGCACATTTAAGCTTTTTCTCTCAACGTTACCAGCACTTTTAGGAAATAATTATAATCGTATTGATGAAAATGGGTAACAAACAACGCATTGGTACAAATATGAACATAATTTTGTATTATTTGTTTCCTTAGTTCGCGTATTCCATCGCCTGTGAGGACTCGTATCTAATATACAAACAATAATAATTGATAATTATTGTGGGAGCATTCGTGAGTAATAGCTTATCTTCATCCTCCACCTTTGACCCAAATAATTCACATAGCAGGCGAGAGAGGTCAAGACTATTATGATCACCGTCACGCATCCTGCAGTCACATCGATTGTATACTTGCTGGGAACGTCAATAAACATGTCTTCTCTCGACTCTCGCCAGCCTCCGCCGGCTACACTTCATTAAACAATTTCCGCGGCGCGTAAACATCCCTGTTGAAGACCCCCGACCTTGCCCTATTGTCAGACATTCATTAACTCAAAGACATCAATAAACGCCATTGTTGACCTAAATACACATCTTTAAAGAAAGGCTGCTTGCGTTCGTGTATGTGTGCACTTAAAGAGACTGAGTTTTAACTCCTGGATCTTTCATCTCAATTTTCAATAGAGTAGCGTAGTTGGTCCCTACAATCCATCCTCAAAGCAATGATCATAACCTATTCAATCCAGGTCAGTCTGCACGATTAGAAATAATGTTAATTATGCATGGCACGGGGCCTAGGCGCGGCAAAGAATGATGACTAACCATATCTTGAGGTTATCTTGAGATGATTTCGGGGCTTTTTTTTTAGTGTCCCCGCGGCCCGGTCCTCGACCAGGCCTCCACCCCCAGGAAGCAGCCCGTGACAGCTGACTAACACCTAGGTACCTATTTTACTGCTAGGTAACAGGGGCATAGGGCGAAAGAAACTCTGCCCATTGTTTCTCGCCGGCGCCCGGGATCGACCCCGGGACCACAGGATCAGGTCCAGCGTGCTGTCCGCTCGGCTCCCCCATACCATATAGATCACAACTGGCTAGGTGATGTCTTATCTAGAACAATGTGACGGGCCTTGTTCTGATGGCATACGTCCAGTACTCCATACTTTTCCCAGCAGCTCCCACAATTTTGCTGTGAATTAACACCTTTATATTTAACAATTCAACCCATCAAAGTGCTTGATCCCAAGTTTAATTATTTTATAAATGATTCATATGAGGCTAATTACCCCACCCACTTCTAACACAACAACTGCACCAGACGCTAATGGTATGCCTACCAGCTTGAAAGTCGCTGCTGTTGACGCCAACCCCAAATATACAACTCTCAAAGAGTCCTATACGGTCATCCTTCTAGGGCCTCTAGGCTATAGTACCCATATTCTGAGACTCTTGAATAATACTTCTTTCTTTATCGCTATACAAATTTCATCCCGGTGTATCCAACAGTTATTGGGGTACCTGGCTGTAAAGTGATTGGAGGGTCGTGTTCCAGGGAAACTAGTAAGGTAAGAATTAACATAAGCTATGGTAGAGCGTACAGTACTTAGTAATTATCAAAAGAAGGCATCAAGCCGGTAACAGGAGTCATTCGTCTTTAGTACCGGTGTAAAAAAAACATGTAAAGTGTGGTTTAGGTAGCGAGTTTCCGCTTCACTTCGTCCACAATCCTTGAACTTGAACTTTCCGCTCATAACCTTACCCCTTCCTCACCTGATTGCACTCCACCCATCCTCCTCCTCCTCACTCCTTGAGGACAGGCTGCCTTATCATCACAATCGACTTGAGAATGGTCTAGGACGGACCCAAACGTCGTCGTCCCTTCATTTTCTAGTGTGTGGATTGGTCAACTGCCTTATCATCTTGGACACTTGGGTCTTAAATCTTGACAGTTGCCATAGTCCAAGTACTAGATTTAACATTAATTATGGCCAGGCTCATTTGTTCAACATGCGAAACTTAGCCTATGTGCCATTAGGATTAACACAGGAGTATGGAGAGGCTGTGTGATACGCCCAAGTCTTGTCCTGGTTGTTCTGACAAAGACATGACCTTCCGTGCCCACGAGCCCCACGGGGACTTGGTGCCCCGGCCACATACCCCTCGCGCCCCGGCCACATACCCCTCGTGCCCCGGCCACATACCCCTCGTGCCCCGGCCACATACCCCTCGTGCCCCGGCCACATACCCCCTCGTGCCCCGGCCACATACCCCTCGCGCCCCGGCCACATACCCCTCGTGCCCCGGCCACATACCCCTCGTGCCCCGGCCACATACCCCTCGTGCCCCGGCCACATACCCCTCGCGCTCCGGCCACATACCCCTCGTGCCCCGGCCACATACCCCTCGTGCCCCGGCCACATACCCCTCGCGCCCCGGCCACATACCCCTCGTGCCCCGACCACATACCCCTCGTGCCCCGGCCACATACCCCTCGTGCCCCGGCCACATACCCCTCGCGCCCCGGCCACATACCCCTCGTGCCCCGGCCACATACCCCTCGTGCCCCGGCCACATACCCCTCGTGCCCCGGCCACATACCCCTCGCGCCCCGGCCACATACCCCTCGTGCCCCGGCCACATACCTCTCGCGCCCCGGCCACATACCCCTCGTGCCCCGACCACATACCCCTCGTGCCCCGGCCACATACCCCTCGTGCCCCGGCCACATACCCCTCGCGCCCCGGCCACATACCCCTCGTGCCCCGGCCACATACCCCTCGTGCCCCGGCCACATACCCCTCGTGCCCCGGCCACATACCCCTCGCGCCCCGGCCACATACCCCTCGTGCCCCGGCCACATACCTCTCGTGCCCCGGCCACATACCCCTCGTGCCCCGGCCACATACCCCTCGTGCCCCGGCCACATACCCCTCGTGCCCCGGCCACACCCCCTCGTGCCCCGGCCACACCCCCTCGTGCCCCGGCCACACCCCCTCGTGCTGCGGCCACACCCTCTCGTGCCCCGGCCACACCCCTTCGTGCCCGGTCGTGCTCCTTCGGGGGAGCCGGTCGGCCGAGCGGACAGCACACTGGACCTGTGATCATGTGGTCCCGGGTTCGATCCCGGGCGCCGGCGAGAAACAATGGCCAGAGTTTCTTTCACCCTATGCCCCTGTTACCTAGCAGTAAAATAGGTACCTGGGTGTTAGTCAGCTGTCACGGGCTGCTTCCTGGGGGTGGAGGCCTGGTCGAGGGACCGGGCCGCGGGGACACTAAAGCCCCGAAATCATCTCAAGAAAAAGAAGAAGCCCCTGATGATTCCTGTACCGTCTTGGAGACGTTCAGCGCCCGCACAGTGTTCGTCCGTCAGGAAAGTAATGATGAGCACCCAAGCTTTTCATGAACCCGCCATTAATGAAAATAAATACCTACATAAAATAATGACCTTAAATAAGTTATTCAAGTTACATATTTAAGGACATGGATATTTTTAAAACCATACTAAAATTGCGTGTAGAAGTTTAACGCTTACGTTAAGTACTAGAATAGGCACTAAACCATTTGCTATAAAATAAGATAAATGATACATTATGAATTTGAAAATTAGGCGTTTACCTAGCAAAACAACACTAGGCGATGTCTGCAAATGTCAGGGATCTGGAAGAGGCGTCGGGCGGATGCCAGCGCCTCTGGGCTTAAAATGGCCTCAAGGATAAGTCATCGGAAGTCGGTCAGTCGTTGCCATTGTCTCCTAAAACCTTATTAAACTATACATCTTCATTCTTTCAGTAAAACAACTGAATACACAAGACCTAGCCTACGAAATGACAATATGAAATTACAAATTAAAGAATAAACTTCAACGCTTTCACGAAACTTGATAACTGAAGCAAATTAATTTAAATACAAAATAGCCATTGTGGCAACTACTAGTCGAGTCTAGACGAACAAGCAAATGGCTGGTGAATGACCCGATAATAACGCTCTCAAAAACCCACGTTCTCTACCATACTTTAATGCAATTTTGCATATTATAGAAATGTAATGCCTAAATGTATTTTATGAAGCCAATTGTATGATGTATTAAGAGTGCGTATCCAAGGATTACTTTAGTTCTACAACCCCGATTCCCGTCCACTCGAACACGACTTTTAGAAGCACAATCCTAGGCTGTAAATCCAATTGACAATTCCTAACCATTATTATCATCATGCACCTGACGCAAGAGAAATATGAGCCCTACGGCAGGCATCATCACCGCACCTGACGCAGAGGGAGGACGGACCCTGCGGTAAATATCATCACCGCACCTGACGCAGAGGGAGGACGGACCCTGCGGCAAGTATCATCACCGCACCTGACGCAGAGGGAGGACGGACCCTGCGGCAAGTATCATCACCGCACCTGACGCAGAGGGAAGACGGACCCTGCGGCAAGTATCATCACCGCACCTGACGCAGAGGGAGGACGGACCCTGCGGCAAGTATCATCATCGCACCTGACGCAGAGGGAGGACGGACCCTGCGGCAAGTATCATCACCGCACCTGACGCAGAGGGAGGACGGACCCTGCGGCAGGCGTCATCACCGCACCTGACGCAGAGGGAGGACGGACCCTGCGGCAGGCATCATCACCGCACCTGACGCAGAGGGAGGACGGACCCTGCGGCAAGTATCATCACCGCACCTGACGCAGAGGGAGGACGGACCCTGCGGCAGGCATCATCACCGCACCTGACGCAGAGGGAAGACGGACCCTGCGGCAGGCTTCATCACCGCACCTGACGCAGAGGGAAGACGGACCCTGCGGCAGGCATCATCACCGCACCTGACGCAGAGGGAGGACGGACCCTGCGGCAGGCATCATCACCGCACCTGACGCAGAGGGAAGACGGACCCTGCGGCAGGCGTCATCACCGCACCTGACGCAGAGGGAGGACGGACCCTGCGGCAGGCATCATCACCGCACCTGACGCAGAGGGAAGACGGACCCTGCGGCAGGCATCATCACCGCACCTGACGCAGAGGGAGGACGGACCCTGCGGCAGGCATCATCACCGCACCTGACGCAGAGGGAGGACGGACCCTGCGGCAGGCATCATCACCGCACCTGACGCAGAGGGAAGACGGACCCTGCGGCAGGCATCATCACCGCACCTGACGCAGAGGGAGGACGGACCCTGCGGCAGGCATCATCACCGCACCTGACGCAGAGGGAGGACGGACCCTGCGGCGGGCATCATCATGCTCCTCTGGTTCCTTGCCTTGCTCGGTTGCCAACCAATAACCTCATTAATTAAGATTCACCGCCATGAATCTCTGAAATTCATGGCTATAAAATTCATTAAAACGGCTACTGAAATAATTATAAGAAATCCTTATCTTTTTATGATTTGATATTTTTTTGTTAATATATTTATGTATAAATTAAATTAGGGTTCTAAATTTGTTTTGACGTAGATTTTTACGCAATTAGCTACGCTTCTGTCAGAACAGCTTAAATACTTAGCTTTATTATAAGTAACAAATATATCTCTAATTGTAACCCACTCATTACTGAAAATAGAGCATTTGCGGGAGGAATTAATATCAATAAATAAGGGGGTGGAGGGAGCCAAGCCCGGAGGGTCCATGAGAGGCGCCCGTCCCCCCCTTTACAGTGGTGGTGATTCCCACTATTCCCGCCAAGCTTTATTGATTTTTGGTCTGCACAGCGGCACACTTCAACACTCATCTCTCAGCTGATTGTACACCCTTTTCAAAATTACTCTGTTTCGGGGGTTTTAAAAAGAATAGGCTTTGAGATTAAATAACCTTATTTCCCACAGATCGGATTGTATCACTGTTCGAAATATACACAAACTATACATTTGTCAAGCATAGTGTTAGTATACCTCATGGCAATGCAAAATGTTTTATACAGATATACATATTCAGACGACTGGCAGGTTATCATTAAACCCCCCCATCGCTGTCAAATTTCATCTCCCCTAATACTTTACATATTTTTCAAAGTTGGTTACGGTATTGATTAGATATCTATTGCTCATTAATGAACAATCTGTATCTCACGCATAATTAACCCACTATTTGTTGATTTTCTTGCGAATTTGTGTGTTTATGTTCCGCCTTGAGAGCACGCACTGGAAGCCTGGATATCTCGGACTGAAACACTACGGTCGCCCATGCTGGGTTCCAGCGCCGCCGACACTAACTCTCACGGTTCTCGGCGTTAGGATTACCTCCCAAGTATTTATATATATATTCTGACTCTAGTACCATTTGTTAACATAATTTAAAATATATTATATATATCTGACAGCTAAACATTATACTAAAAAAAATCCTCCTAAATTCTTCGTTTATGGGAAAATAAAAGATTGAGAATTGTGAGGATTCAGAGTCCTGGTAAGGCAACAAAGCAGACGACACCCCAGAGGAGATCCAGTGTGACCTGCCGCATGGAAATGTACACAAATGAACGCGTTTCATCATTCACACTTTTTACTTTGAAAAGCTGTATTCTGAGGTTTTATCCCGAAAGAGAATCAACAATTGACAGCATATAAGATGCTAGTTACGGCTCTCGGTCTTGTAAGAGTGTAAGGGATATGCGTAATATACGAGATGTTTATAAAAGGGGCTGGAACAACGTGCTCTTTTAGTACAGAAACATTCATTTCGCTTTCTAAGACGGAAACCAAGAACTGCTGAACCTCATCTTCAGAAACCAAAAGTAGCATGTTTTGTGACACCAGCACTAACATGTCACAAGAAATTACACCACTAAACAAAGGTATTTATTACCCCGCATTATTGTGACTGCAAGTATTTAGCGAAAATAAGGATTTGTGAACATCCATCTTGCTCCTGCAGAATTTATACCATATTAAAAGTCCTTACACGTGTTTGCTAACTCAGCCCGCTCAGTAAGAACTGATTTGTTCTTACCACATATTTACGTGTTAAAATGTGTTTTGTATTATTATTTTCTACCACAAACGTGTTAAATGTGGAAGAACTGTAATATATACCATATAATCGTAAGCAGTTCGTGGTAGCATATAATTTGTACCTGAAAATAAATGATGATAAATATAACAGATGTTAGTGCAGAATCAGAGAGAGAGAGAGAGAGAGAGAGAGAGAGAGAGAGAGAGAGAGAGAGAGAGAGAGAGAGAGAGAGAGAGAGAGAGAGAGAGGTCATTCCTCACTGCGGAGCACCCCCCCCCCCCCTTCCATAATTACAATAACCCCAGTGTTAACGACCAACAGGAGTACCACAGTCGTGGCGACAGCTCCCGGGAGCGAGTCAGGAAGATGAAGGGCTGGCCATGTGAATGCAATAATTCATATTTGCGGTACAGGGAAGAAAGTCACCACATAAATTGTAAGAGAAGACTGTGAGGAGTGGGAGATGTGAGGAGTATGAGGGTGGGGAGCTGTGAGGAATATGAGGGTGGGGAGCTGTGGGGAGTATGAGGGGTGGGGATTCATAGTTATAGGCAGTGTATGTATTATCAACAAAGTAAAATGTGGTAAAGAGTTCTACTCTTCACAAATCTACTATAAAATCCGATTAAATAACGCTGGTCAAGGGCACACTATATCAAAATAACGATCAATGCGCGAAGAGGAGATATAGAAGACCATTTATGTAACAAGATACAAAACAATGTCATAAGAAAAAAATGAGACGTGACATACACGGGTTCAACAACCTTTGCACCAAGAGTGAGAGAGAGAACGTAATCATAAGTAGTATAGGAGCAGAGGTGTCGTAATTCTACCACACCGGCAGCGTCAGGGCTGGTTATTGCTAAGATTATGAGACAACAGCGCCTCCCGATGGTCGCCAGCCACAGCCAGCTTCACGCTACCCTCACACTACCACAGCCAGCCTCATACTACCACAGCCAGCCTCGCACTACCACAGCCAGACTCATACTACCACAGCCAGCCTCACACTACCACAGCCAACCTCGCGCTACCACAGCCAGTGGTAGCGTGAGGCTGGTTAAAAAAAAGTTCTTGTCTCACGAAATATGAAAATTATTAGATTCGATAATTATTACGAACTCGTGAAAATAACTCCAGAGTTGTGTTTTCTTCAAGTGAGTTTCGTTTAATTTACTTTTACTACTGCTCCATCTAAAGCCGGTTCAGAAGGGATTAACTACGGACGTTCTTAGATACAACTTACAATGAAGCCTAATCTGTGACTTTGTGACGGGCCACCGCACATGTAGTTAGATCTCCTGGGATTATAACCGATGGTCTGCTGGTACACAGGTGGTTGTTGACGTGGTTGACCGTTATACCGAGGGTACAACACATCATAAACTCTCTCTCAAGTCTCACTTTTATTATCTTTGTCAGAGCCCGAAATATACTTGTGCTTTGAATTATGGGTAAACCTATTTAATAAGAATTCAAACTCTTAACACACTGAACTCATAATACACAATGAGATTGACCTATAATAAGCTAACTGTAAGTTAACTGTTCATGTATATGTTAAACTATAATTAGCTCATCAATGTTGTTACTTGTTGATCTGCAACCCATTCTCGCACTTGCTTTTAGTCAATATTGGCTTATTTAATAAGTGCATATGTGACATACTAATTGATTGTGAATATTTTAGTTTACCTTGAAAAGCTTCATAGAAAACACCGACCTCACCTAACCTTCTTAGTATGTAAAGATAAGCATCTTATTGCTTCTTAATTACAATTATTACTTAACCTATACCGTTGATAGGTATAGGGCAATCTAAAGTTCGAATACGAGTTCAGTTCCTGAGCCAATCATGTGCCTCCGTATAATTAGACCACCGCTCACAGGATGGAAATGGCAATTATAATAAATATATTTCTGCGGCATGAGAACAACGGAGCTGCTGGCGCTGGAAAGGCAGCGTAACGTAGGCCGTGTAGGAGAAAACAAATCAAGAGGAAATGTGAGAAATTATGGTAGATAGCAAGTATAAGTGCAAGAGAGAAGGACAAGAAGAAATTTGAACGAGTGAAAATAGAAGGAAATACAGCAAATAAAGAGGACGGTTGCAGAGGAGTAATTGAAGGGAAGCGACAATATACTGAATACTTCTGAGACGGTGGTGGCTGGCTCTTAGACTCTCAGAGGCCTCGTAGCACTAGTATAAAAATTAACGACTTTTTTAGATTGATTGATTGATAAAGGTTAAGCCACCCAAGAGTACTTTTTTTAGATTTGATACGTATATATATAAATGTGGGCAGCATCACACGTCACCAGTCAGATTATTTTTATTAACATCTTTATTGACAAAATTGAATTACAATATTGCCTAATCTGAGGATTTCAATTAAGTCTTATTAAAGTGAGGATAATGCTGGCATTCACTGTCACACAGGACAGAGGGTCATACACAAGACAATAGGTCTAAACTGACAGAGCGACATAGTGGCAGCGAGGACCAGGTTAGGCTACTATCACCGGTAGTAGGCGGCTACAGGTGACGAATCTCCCGATCTTGAGCACTCCATGTGAACAAAAACTGGGCCATAACTTCATACATTACAATATTGAATGTCCAGCTTTAAGACCCTTTAGACCTACCAGTATAAGGTACCTGGAGCCTTAAATTCACTATATTCACTCATGTATTTGAGGACATCCTCATAATTGCATCTAAAAGTTTACCAGTGCAGGCTACTGATCACATGGCCTTGTATGAAAAGCCATCGCGTGCGATGGGAATTTTAGTATCACATAGCTAACCCATGAGACAAACTGTGTAACCTTTCAGATAGTCTAGAGTAGCTGCATCAATGACTATGTACCTATGTAGTACATAATAAACAAAATTGCTACAAGTAACGCACGGGTATGTGTGAGAGATATAGCAGTGTGAGAAGGAGGGAGAGGTGAGAGATGGAATGGAGAGGTGAGAGACGTGGAAGGGAGAGACGTGGGAGGGAAAGATGAGAGACGTAGGAGGAGGGAAAGGTGAGATTGAAAGGAAGCATACCAGATTGAAGACGGGGTAGACGGGGGGGGGTGGAAGGCATGCGACAGGTGAGGGGAGAGACGAGTGAGGGGATGAGACGGCTGAGGGGAGAGACGGGTGAAAAGAGGGGAAGACGACAAGGAAGCGACCAACTTCCCTCACAAGCACCACCGCCACCCATACTATGTTCCCCACCCCTGCAATGACAACTTTTATCATTCATAAGAACCTCCACTAACCAAACACGACATTCACTAACCACAACGACCACTCTAACCAATCACGACACTCACTAACCACATCGACCACTCTAACCAATCATGACCTTCACTAACCCTTCGTACCCAGCACAGAATTCACCAGTTGTTCTAATGACTTGTGATAAATAGCGAGGCACAATCAAAATACGCAACACGCCGTTTCAGACCTCTCACACCAGGACACCGTCGGAACTGAATGGCACAAAACGTGGCCTCGAGAGCATGCACGTCTAGTAGAGAAGTCTTCTACATACACAAGGCACGTGGCTGAAGACGCCAGGTTAACGTAGTACGTGGCCAGAGGACACGGGCTGTACACCACAGACACGGGTCTGGAGATCGACTCGACCGTGTCTCACCTCACCGCTGCCAACCAGCAAACTGAATACGCCTACCTCTTGCCATGGGAAAGAGGGGAGAGGGGGGGGCATTACCCCCCAACACCACCCACGGTATTCAGAAGTCCCGTGAGCCTTTAAAGTTGTACGTTAATACAATAACTGTTCTCTTGTGTTTTTACTATGTTTACATTTAAACTGTGTATCGAAGGGACTTTATGAACTACCACCTTGTTTCATCAATCACACATACTAAGTTCTTTCTAGCAAATACGTAGCTGTTAATGTCAAATTTGCATATGTTTCCCCTCTGTTGCCTCACACTTTGAGGATGGGATCGGCGTCGACCTTTTCGATTCCCCTTAACATTTTGTATGTCGTTATCACACCTCCTCAGCTCTCCCTTTCCTCCAGTGTACTCAATAACCAACATGTACATGTATATGTAAGAGAACATAACTCGAACCATAATTATGTAGAGCAGACGTATATGTATGTATTGTATGTATGCTGTTTAGCATTGTTAAAACACTACAGTCACCTT